GAGCAATCAAGTTAGAACTCAGAATTCAAAAACTAACCCAGAACCGCACGGCTTCATGGAAACTGAACAACTTGCTCTTGAATGTTGACTGGATAAACAATGAAATGAAGACAGAAATAAAGATGTTCTTCGAAACCAATGAGAATGAAGACACAACATACCATAATCTCTGGGACACATTTAAAGCAGTCTCTAGAGGAAAATATACAGCAACAAGTTCCCACATGAGAAGCAAGGAGAGATCTAAAATTGACACCCTATTGTCAAAATTAAAAGAGCTAGAGGAGCAAGATCAAAAAAACTCAAAGTCTAGCAGAAGACAAGAAACAGCTAAGATCAGAGCAGAACTGAAGGAGACAGACACACAAAAAACCCTTCAAAAAATCAATAAATCCAGGAGCTGTTTTTTTGAAAAGATCAACAAAATAGACAGACCACTAGCCAGGTTAATAAAAAAGAAAAGAGAGAATAACCAAATTGATGAAATAAAAAACGATAAAGGGGATATCACCACAGACTTCACAGAAATTCAAACCATCATCAGAGATTATTACAAACAACTCTATGCACATAAACTAATAAACCTGGAAGAAATGGATAAATTCCTGGACACTTGCCTCCTCCCAAGCCTAAACCAGGAAGAAGCCGAAACCCTGAACTGACCCATGACAAGGTCTGAAGTTGAGGCAGCAATTAAGAGCTTACCACCCAATAAAAGCCCAGGTCCAGACAGGTTCACAGCTGAATTCTACCAGACATACAAAGAGGAGCTGGTACCATTCCTTCTGAAACTATTCCAAACAATACAAAAAGAGGGAATTCTTCCCAAATCATTTTATGAGACCAACATCATCCTGATTCCAAAACCCAGCAGAGACTCAACAAGAAAAGAAAACTTCAGGCCAATATCCATGATGAACATAGATGCAAAAATCTTCAATAAAATACTGACAAGCTGATTGCAACAGCACATCAAAAAGCTTATCCACCATGATCAAGTAGACTTCATCCCAGGGATGCAAGGCTGGTTCAACATACGCAAGTCTATAAACGTAATTCACCACATAAACAGAACCAAAGACAAAAACCACATGATTATCTCAATTGATGCAGAGAAGACCTTTGACAAAATTCAACAGCCCTTTATGCTAAAAACCCTCAATAAGCTAGGTATTGACGCAACGTATCTCAAAATAACAAAAGCTATTTATGACAAACCAACAGCCAATATCATACTGAATGGGCAAAAACTGGAAGCATTCCCCTTGAAATCTGGCACTAGACAAGGATGCCCTCACTCACCACTCCTATTCAATATAGTACTAGAAGTTCTAGCCAGAGCAATCAGGCAAGAAAAAGAAATAAAGGGTATTCAAATAGGAAAGGAGAAGTCAAATTGTCTCTATTTGCAGACGACATGATTGTATATCTAGAAGACCCCATGGTCTCAGCCCAGAATCTCCTGAAACTGATAAGCAACTTCAGCAAAGTCTCAGGATACAAAATCAATGTGCAAAAATCACATGCATTCCTATACACCAATAACAGACTTAAAGAGAGCCAAATCAAGAACAAACTTCCATTCACAATCGCCACAAAGAGAATAAAATACCTGGGAATACAACTAACAAGGAACATAAAGGACCTCTTCAAGGAGAACTACAAGCCACTGCTCAACGAAATGAGAGAGGACACAAACAGATGGAGAAACATTCCATGTTCATGGTTAGGAAGAATCAATATCGTGAAAATGGCCATACTACCCAAAGTAATTTACAGATTCAATGCTATCCCCATCAAGCTACCAATGACCTTCTTCACAGAACTGGAAAAAACCACCTTAAACTTCATATGGAACCAAAAGAGAGCCCACATAGCCAAGTCAATTCTAAGCAAAAAGAACAAAGCGGAAGGCATCACACTACCGGACTTCAAACTATACTACAAGGCTACAGTAATCAAAACAGCATGGTACTGGTACCAAAACAGAGATGTAGACCAATGGAACAGAACAGAGGTCTCGGAGGCAACACAACATATCTACAACCATCTGATGTTTGACAAACCAGACAAAAACAAGCAATGGGGAAAGGATTCCTGTTCAATAAATGGTGTTGGGAAAACTGGCTAGCCACGTGCAGAAAGCAGAAACTGGACCCCTTCCTGACACCTTACACTAAAATTAACTCCAGATGGATTAAAGACTTAAACATAAGACCTAACACCATAAAAACCCTAGAAGAAAATCAAGGCAAAACCATTCAGGACATAGGTGTAGGCAAGGACTTCATGACCAAAACACCAAAAGCATTGACAACAAAAGCCAAAATAGACAAATGGGACCTAATCAAACTCCACAGCTTCTGCACAGCAAAAGAAACAGTCATTAGAGTGAATTGGCAACCAACGGAATGGGAAAAAATTTTTGCAGTTTACCCATCTGACAAAGGGCTGATATCCAGAATTTACAAAGAACTAAAACAGATTTACAAGAAAAAAACTAACAAGCCCATTCAAAAGTGGGCAAAGGATATGAACAGATGCTTTACAAAAGAAGACATACAGGAGGCCAACAAATATATGAAAAAATGCTCATCATCACTGGTCATCAGAGAAATGCAAATCAAAACTACATTGAGATACCATCTCACGCCAGTTAGAACGGCGATCATTAAAAAATCTGGAGACAACAGATGCTGAAGAGGATGTGGAGAAATTGTAACACTTTTACATTGTTGGTGGGAGTGTAAATTAGTTCAACCATTGTGGAAGACAGTGTGGCGATTCCTCAAGGACCTAGAAATAGAAATTCCATTTGACCCAGCAATCCCATTACTGGGTATATATCCAAAGGATTATAAATTGTTCTACTACAAGGACACGTGCACACGAATGTTCATTGCAGCACTGTTTACAATAGCAAAGACCTGGAACCAACCCAAATGCCCATCGATGATAGACTGGACAGGGAAAATGTGGCACATATACACCATGGAATATTATGCAGCCATCAAAAACAATGAGTTTGTGTCCTTTGTAGGGACATGGATGAACCTGGAAACCATCATTCTCAGCAAACTGACAGAAGAGCAGAGGATCAAACACCGCATGTTCTCACTCATAGGCAGGTGTTGAACAATGAGAACACATGGACACAGGGAGGGGAGCACTACACACTAGGGTCAGTTGGGGGGAAATAGGGGAGGGACGATGGGGGGTGGGGAGCTGGGGAGAGATAGCAAGGGGAGAGATGCCAGATGTAGGTGATGGGGAGGAAGGCAGCAAATCACACTGCCACGTGTGTACCTATGCAACAATCTTGCATGTTCTTCACATGTACCCCAAAACCGAAAATGCAATAAAATAAATAAATGGGAAAAAAAAAATAAAAGAGATCGAGACCATCCTGGTCAACTTGGTGAAACCCTGTCTCTACTAAAAATAGTAAAATTAGCTGGGCATGGTGGTGCACGCCTGTAGTCCCAGCTACTCGGAAGGCTGAGGCAGAAGAATTGCTTGAACCCAGGAGGTGGAAGTTGTGGTGAGCCAAGATCGCGCCATTGCACTCCAGCCTGGGTAACAAGAGAGAAACTCCATCTCAAAAAAAAACAAAACAAAACAGAAAAACCACCAATCACTCCCAAGGAACCAACAAAAGGAATATCATACTATTATCCACAGAAGTTCTGAAAAGATAAAATTATCAATCAAGACTTTATATCACACCATGAAAAAAAAAACAATTTAGATTCAGGTTATATAAGGAACCAAGAACCCTACCGATATCAGGAATGTCTATATTACCTAGCAAATTTTTTTCATGCTAAGAAAAAGAAGGCTACAGTAAAATCTATTACTAACAAGAACAAAAACAGACTAAGCTATTATTAATATTTGATTTTGAAAAGTATGTTTTGTGGAATTCTGGTGTATACCATTGCTTCTCAAACCATCCAAAGTAAAAGAACAGTTATAAACTTACACGTCTGAGAAATACAGTAGACGTGTCATAGCAATGCCAAAATGCTTTAAAAGTTTCCAAACATTTATTCTGAATGAATACTGACTCATGGGCCAGCAATAGCCATAAATCAGCCCTTTACTTGGATCGTTCTAGCCCATCTCCTTGGCTCTTCATTCCCAGCTCTGCCTCAGCTCATTTCATCTTGCCTAGCAACCGCCCTGCCTCTAAAATCGAATGATAGCCTGGCCCAGGATGCTGTGGTCTTTGGTAGACCATGAGGTTTGACCTTGAGGTAATGGTTGTGAGCAAGCCTCTGTGACAGAAGCTCACCTGCTGGCCGCCCGTGCCTAAGAGGGAGTGAATCTGAGCCCCCAAAGTATCAAAAAAAAGCTAGAGCATCAAATGTGGCTTCATTCTTTACCTCCCATCTTCCTGTTCTCATCACCACCACCAGCAACTGAACCCTGTTCAAAATGACACCTGTTTTAGGAGGCCAGGAGGTAGTAACCTATTCTCAAGACTGTTTTGGGTTTTTTTGTAAATTATAGATTCAGGTGGCACATGTGAAGGTTTACTACATGGGTATTCTGCATAATGCTGCGGGGTTTGGGTCCTGGTGAAACAGTCACTCAAACAGTGAACACGGTACCGTCCAGGTAGTTTTTCAACCCTCGCCTCCCTCCCATCAAGATTTTTTTGTTTAAAGATGGAGTCTCACTCTGTTGTCCAGGCTAGAGTGCAGTGGCGCAATCTTAGCTTATCGCAACCTCCACCTCCTGGGTTCCAGCGATTCTCCTGCCTCAGCCTGCTCAGTACCAGGAACTACAGGCGCCCACCACCACGCCTGGCTAATTTTTGTAATTTTAGTAAAGATGGGGTTTCACCATGTTGGCCAGGCTGGTCTCGAACTCCTGACCTCAGGTGATCCACCCACCTCAGGTGATCCACCCACTTCAACCTCCCAAAATACTGGGACTACAGGTGTGAGTCACTGTGCTCCACCAAGACTAATCTTTAATAGAAAAAATATTCTCACTCTAAGCTGCCACTCCACCAAGTCAGTTCCTGTGATCATCTCCGAAACAGGGTGTTCCACTTGCAGCCTTGTATTCATCTCCATGAAATAGAAATTATGTTTTGAGTCCATAATAAACTCCACAGTCCCTAAAAGATAAAAAACAATGGTCATATTAAAGAGTGTATCATCAGTAGCAAACCAAAATCTTCCATGAGGCATCACATCAAATTCTACTGCTGCCTTCATTTAATGGTTAACACTTTGCATTTCATGAAGAAAATATCTCGCATTTGCAACAGCATATGAGTCTTAGTCAAAAATAGAGAGCTGCATGAAATTTGGCAACGGAAAAGTCTATTTGGGGTTGTGAGCAAATGGTAAGCCCAAATTCTGAATCCGTTTCAGCTGCTGTGCCAGTGAGAACAAGAGTGGACCACATGTTACTGCCTCAGGGCACCAAGATCCCAGGAGCCTCATGCCATGACATCCCATCTCACTCTAACCCCACTGAAAAAAAGAAAACTTTTTTCCCCTGACTGTGTGCGCCTAGAAATTTCCTTTAAAAGTCCTTTTGCTGGCAACCCATTGAAAGATTGTTTGGCAACTAAACCTTATGTTAATATCTACTGGCAATCTATTAAGCCCTAAAAAATTTTCCCTAACTTTATTAATGTTTCATTTTAGACAACAAACTGTAACAATTTTAACTGTGGGTGTGTGATTTAGCAATTGAATACAATCAAAGAACCACAATGACACTATAGAACATTTCCAGCATCCAAAAAATTCCCTTGTTCCCATTTGCAATCAGTCCCTTCACTAAGTCCTGGGATCCAGGAAACCACCAATCTGCTTTCTGTCACTGTAGTTTTTTTGGAATTTTTTTTTTTTTTTTTTTTGAGACGGAGTTTCGCTGTTGTTGCCCAGACTGGAGTGCAATGGCATGATCTCGGCTCACCGCAACCTCCGCCTCCTGGGTTCAAGCAATTCTCCTGCCTCAGCCTCCCGAGTAGCTGGGACTACAGGCACGCGCCACCATGCCCAGCTAATGTTTTGTATTTTTAGTAGAGGCGAGGTTTCACCTTGTTGACCAGGATGGTCTCGATCTCCTGACCTCGTGATCCACCTGCCTCGGCCTCTCAAAGTGCTGGGATTACAGGCGTGAGCCACCGCGCCCGGCCTGGAATTTTATCTAAATGAAATTATATAGCTTCTAGTCTTCTGTGTTTGTGTTTTTCTCTCTTAAAGTGAATACAATGTAAAGCTGTTTCTACAAGTGTGGTTACAACCCATTAGCAAATTTTAAAATCAATTTTTTTTCTTCAGACAGAGTCTCACTGTGTCACCCAGGCTGAAGTGCAATGGCACAGTCTCAGCTCACTGCAAACTCTACCTCCTGACAAAAGAGGGACAGAAAAGATATATATATATATATATTTGTATTGACTTCTATTTGCATTTAAAAAATGTTTCTAGGGCTGAGTGTGGTGGCTTATGCCTGTAATCCCAACACTTTGGGAGGCCAAGGCAGGCAGATCACCTGAGGTCAGCTGTTTGAGACCAGCGTGACCAACATGGTGAAACCCTGTCTCTACTAAAAATACCAAAAAAATAGCCAGGTATGGTAGCAAGCGCTTATAATCCCAGCTGCCCAGGGGGCTGGGACAGGAGAATCGATTGAACCTGGGAGGCAGAGGTTGCAGTGAGCCAAAATTGTGCCACTGCACTCCAGCCTGGGTGACAGAGTGAGACTGTCTAAAAAAAAAAAAAAAAGGGAAAGTCAAGAGAAGTGAAGGCAAGTCTCAAACTGACAATGTTTGCAAAGGCACATCTAATAAAGAACTGTTATTCAAAATACACAAAGAACTCTTAAAACTCGACAATAGGAAAACAAATAACCTGATTTTAAAAATGGGTGAAAGATGTGAAGAGACACTTCATCGAAGAAGATAAACAGATGGCAAGTATGCACATGAAAAGATATTCAACATTACAGGTCATTAGGGAAGTGCAAATTAAAACAATGAGATACCAAATGGCCTGAATCCAAAACACTGACATCACCAAAAACTGCAGAGGATTTGGAGCAGCAGGAACCCTCTTTTGTTGCTGGTAGGAATGCAAAATAGTACAGTCATTTTAGAAGACAGTTTGTCAGTTTTTTCCAAAACTAAACATTCTCTTACCATATGACCCAGAAAGCACACTCCTTAGTACTTATCCACATAAGCTAAAAAATTATGTCCATACAAAAGCCTGATTATTTTCAGGGCGTTTATAGCAGCTTTATTCATAATTGCCAAAACTTGGAAGCAATTATGATGTCCTTAAGTAGCTGAATGGATAATAAACTGTGGGACGTTGAGGCAATGAAATATTATTCAGCATAAAAAAAGAAATGAGCTATCAAGCCATGAAAAGACATGGAGGAAACTGAAATGCATATTATAAAGATAAGAAGCCAATCTGAAAAGGCTATATACTGCATGATTCTAGCTATATGACATTCTTGAAATGGCAAGACTATAGAGGGAGTAAAAACATTAATGGCTACCAGGATTTAGGGGGAATGGAGAGATGAACAGAGAGGGCACAGAGGATACTGAAACTATTCCATAGCATAGTTCAATGGTAGATACGTATTATTGCATTTGTCGAAACTCATAGAATGTACGCCACCACGAGTGAGCCCTTATGTGAACTATGGACTTGGCTGATAATCACGTGTGAATGCAGGGTCACTGATTGAAACACACGCACCACTCTGCTGCAGGGAAGAGCTTGTGTGTTGGGGGCTTCGGGGGAGACTGGGGCATACAGGGATTCTCTGTACTTTTTGTTCAATTTTGCTGTGGGCTTAAAACTGCTCTGAAAAATAAAGTTTATTAACTATAAAGAAGTAAAAATACCAATTTAGTGATTTTATTTTAAAATAGAATACAAAAGATCAAATATCATATAATTAAGACAAGTACTGTTTAATGAAACATTTGTTTCAAATATATAGATACGTAAAAATAAACATTTATGTGTACATACTAGGTCTCAATATAAAATATATTTATTACTGTGAATATGTTCAAAGCAGCCTGAAAGCAACTGATTTAAAAGCTGTGTTTCTCTTGCCTTCTGACATGTAAATTAAACACCGTTACATCTCTTCCATTTGAAGCAAATCTTAACATACCTGCTCCAACATAATTTACAGCTTTAGCAGCTCTGACTGCAGCTTCTCCAAGCTTTTTTCTTACTTCAGGTTTAATACCAGGCTTTGAAAAAAATATTTAAGTAAATCTCCATTAGTAGCTTGCCTTACTAGAAATTCCATTAAAATTCAATTCAGTCAGGTGCCACGTAATGATGTTTCTCAGTCAACAATGGCCCACATATACAACAGTTAATCCCATAAAATTATAATGGAGCTGAAAAATTCCTATGACCTAGTGACAGTGTAGCTGTCACAACATCACAGCACAGTGCATTACTCATGTGTTTTGTGGTGAGGCTGGTGTAAACAAAACAATTGCACTGCCAGTATACAAAAGTATAGCACAATCATGTGCTGTACATAATACTTGATAACGATAATAAACGACTATGCTATTGGTTTATATATTTACTATATGATATAATTTTTACAGTTATTTTAAAGTGTGTCCCTTTCACTTAAAAAAAGTTAAACTGTAAAACAGCCTCAGGTAGGTCCTTCAGGTGTTTCAGAAGAAGGCATTGTTATCACAGAAGATGACAGCTCCACAGAAGTTATTGACCCTGAAAACTTTCCAGTGGGACAAGATGCGGAGGGAAGGCAGGGACACTGATGATCCTGACTCCGTTTAGGTCTAATCTAATGTGTGTGTTTGTGTCTTCATTTTTTTGTTGTTGTTGAGACAGAGTCTCGCTCTGTTGCCCAGACTGCAATGGCGCAATCTCTGCTCATTGCAACCTCCACCTCCTGGGTTCAAGCAATTCTCCTGTCTCAGCCTCCCAGGTAGCTAGAATTACAGGTGCACACCACCACGCCTGGCTAATTTTTTGTAGTTTTAGTAGAGACAGGGTTTCACCGTGTTAGCCAGGATGGTCTCAATCTCCTGAATTCATGATCTGTCCACCTTGGCCTCCCAAAGTGCTGGGATTACAGGCATGAGCCACCGTGCCCAGCCTGTGTCTTCATTTTTAACAAAAAAGTTTAAAGAGTTAGAAAAAGCCAGGTGCAGTGGCTCACCCCTGTAATCCCAACACTTTGGGAGGCAGAGGTGAGTGGAGCGCTTGAGTGCAGGAGTTTGATCCCAGCCTGGCGAGACTCATACCATGGAGCAACACGGCGAGACCCCGTCTACAAAAATAGAAAAATTAGCCAGGCATGAAAGTACATACCTACAGTCCCAGCTACTCCAGAGGCTAAGGTGGGAGGATCACTCGAGCCCAGGAGGTCATGGGTCTAGCGAGCCATGTTCGTGCCACTGCACTCTAGCCTGGGCGACAGAGCAAGAACCCATCTCAAAAAAATTTAATTAAAAAATGTAAAAACAGGAAAAACTTATAGAATAAGGCTATAATTTTTTTTCTTTTTTGAGATGGAGTCTTGCTCTGTTGCCCAGGCAGGTGTGCGGTGGTGTGTGATCTTGGCTCACTGCAACCTCTGCCTTCCAGGTTTTTAAAGCAATTCTCCTGTCTCAGCCTCCGAGTAGCTGGGATTACAGGTGCCTGCCACCACACCCAGCTAATTTTTGTATTTTTAGCAAAGACAGCGTTTCACCATGTTGGCCAGGCTGGTCTCAAACTCCTGACCTCAAGTGATCTGCCTATCTTGGCCTCCCAGAGCCCTGAGATTACAGGTATGAGCCACCACACCCACCCAAGAAAAGATATTTTTGTATGTCTGTATAATGTGTTTGTATTTTTAGGTAAGTATTACTTAAAAAGAGTCAAAAAGTAGAAAAAAAAAATTTAACAGCTTATAAACATATACATATATAAAGTAAAAAAGTTCCAGTAAGCTAAGGCTAATTTATTAAATAAAAATATTTTTTATAAATTTAACTTAGTGGAAGTGTACAATGTTTACAAAGTGGCAGTGTTGTACTAGGTCTTCATATTCACTGTCCCACCCAGAGCAACTTACAAACTTGCAGGCTCCATTCAGGGTGAGTACTCGACACAGGTGTACCATTTCACAAATCTTTTATACTGTATTTTTACTGTACCTTTCCTATTTTATATATGTTTAGATACTTACCACTGTGTTACAACTGCCTGAAGTATTCAGGACAGGAATATACTGTACAGGTTTGTCGCCTGGCAGCAATAGGCTCTACCAGCAGCCTACCTGTGCAGGGGGCTGTAATTACTATCTAGGTGTAAGCACACTCTATGATGTTCACACAATGACAAAATCACCTAAGGACACATTTCTTAGGATGTATTCCTATTGTTAAGCAATGCATGACTGCATTATATTTCTATGTATCAAATACTACATTAAAAAAGACAAAAAGCTATTATACACTTCATCAAAAACTACTATCCTATCCTAGTTTAAATGTCAATATACCCAAGTTCAATGATTCTGCTACTAATTTCTCTGCATTGCAGATATTACTCATCATAATTACATATCTTTGTCCCTTGTATCTATCTACATGACAACTTTCTTAACTATATGTTCACTTAAAATTATGTGTTTCAGGCTGGGCACTGTGGCTCGGGTCTGTAATCCAAGTGTTTGGGAGGCTGAGGTTGGAAGATTATTTGAGGCCAGAAGTTTGAGATCAGCCTGGTCAACACGGCAAGAACCCATCTCTACGATAAATTTAAAAAATTGGCCAGGCACGGTGGCATGCACCTGTAGTTTCAACTACTCAGGAGGCTGAGGGGAGGAGTGCTGGGGCCCAGGAGTTGGAGACTGCAGTGAACTATGATCGTGCCACTGCACTCCAGCCTGGATGACAAAGTCAGACCCTGTCTCAAAAGAACAAAACAAAACAAAACTATATGTATCAATATGGTAACTTTCAACAATCCTTATTTTGTTTCAGGATGATAGGCAATCTGAGTCACGTGCCTAATGATTATCTTAAAATAATGGGAAACCTTGAGATTTCAAGTTAATAAGAAAGGTTCATAAAAAGAAATGTATGTCAATAAGTAAGCAGAGTTTTCAACATTTTAAAACAGTGCTATACAGATATAAATTTAGGTGATCACCACATGAAAATAAGGCTTTACTGCAATTCCTATTGACATTTAATGCGTCAATATTCATGGCATAACATTCTGGTACAATGTATAATGGTATAATATATTCTATAACATAAATATATTCTGCAACATAAATTAAAATTTGAATATAATAATAATATACTTATTAACCAGAAACCTCTGATCCCTGACTCTTTGGAAATCAATATATACTGGAAAAAAAAAAACCACCAAAAAAAAACATAACCTTGAACAAGAACCCATGGCAGTAGCAACCTCCACAGAAATGTAAATCCAAAAACAAGTAGTCCCAGTAGCAAGCTTTGACCCAGATAATCCCCTAAACCAATCAAGAGTAAGGCTCCAAGATATGTAAACAATTAATGTTAAGGGAGCAAAAGCTGCCAAACGAGTGATCCTCTCTTCTCTATAATACAACCATTAAGGCAGGAAAATCACTAACATATTTTCAGAACATCTAAAATGGTAATTAAAACAGAAAAGGCTTCTCCATAAAAAAATAAATCCAATTAACCAGACCATTCCATTCTAGTAACTGATTCTAGTTAATTACAATTTGAAATGTGCATTGAAACCTCATTATACAGCTTTTCACTGTAAATCAGAGAGGTGAATCAGAGCAGATTTTCAGTATTTTATCCAGAAGGAACATGGCCCTGTTGTGTCTACCCTGAAAACATCAATTTCCTCCTTACTCCCAGTACTGCAGGAGGTCTTTCATTACACTGCTATTAGAACACAGTTGTCCAGCAGGGGTTTGAGGGCTAAGAGACGCCAGCTTCAAAGATTTCTGATGTGAAAATCAGACTTAATGAGATTCACATTACAGAGAAGCTTACAAATTTCCTTCCAAGATCCTTACCGCTGGGGCCTCCTCAATGATCTTCTGATGTCGCCTCTGCACACTACAGTCTCTTTCAAACAAGTACACAGCATTGCCATGGTGATCCCCAAACACCTGGACTTCTACATGCCTAGACAAAAGCAAACACATATGTTAATGTATTTGTCAGGCGTGATAAATATCACATTCGTGAAGCTAAACTGCTAGGCCCAATCACCAGGATTTCTCTATTTTTACTTTCTTTAAGTAAGGTCTGACATTTTGACCTCAAATTAGAGATTATGGACTTAGAAAAAGAACTACAGGCCAGATGAGATGGCTGACATCTGTAATTAAGGCAGAATGCTTGAGCCCAGGAGTTCAAGACAAGCCTGGGCAACATAGTGAAACCCCATCTCTACAAAAAACTAGACAGGCATGGTAGCACACGCCTGTAGTACCAGCTACTCAGGAGGCTGAGCCCAGAAGGTTGTGGCTGCAGTGAGCTGAGATTGTGCCACGGCATTCCAACCTGGGTGACAGAATGAGAGACCCTGTCAAAACAAACAAATTATAATCTTGTAAAACTCAACGAAAAAGTTACCATTTGTAGGATGAGTATTAAAGGGAAAAAATCTCTACCTAAAATGACAAATAAGAAAAGACATTTCTCCAACCTGAAGAATAATGAATGAATGAATATTTTTAAAAGACAGAAAATGGAGACTAAAGTAGGGATAAGCAGTAAAAAGAACAAATTTTCAAAGAAAAGACTGACAAATTTGACTACCTCAAAATTACAAATTACAGTCACTTCATATTGTCAAAAGACCAATGAAAAAATTTTTAAGACCACTTTTTGTTTTTAAGCAACTCTTACATTTAGATTTTATGACTACAGAAGACTGAAATTAAAATGGCTTACCCAGAAGAGTTAAATACATTAAATTAATATGGATCATTAGTATCTCAGAAATATACTGACAATAAATCATAATAAAACCCAAAAAAAGGCCAGGCACAGTGGCTCACACTTATAAATCCCGGCACTTTGAGAGGCCAAGACAGGAGGATTGCTTGAGTCCAGGAGTTCAAGACCAGCCTGGGCAACAGGGTGAGGCTGTTTCTAAAAAAAAAAAAAAAAAAAAAAAAAAAAAATTTTTTTTTTTTTAATAAGCTGGGCATGTTGGTACATGCCTGTAGTCCTAGCTGCTCAGAAGGCTCAGGCAGGAGGATTCCTTGAGCCCAGGAGTTTGAGGTGCCACTGCACTCCAGCCTGGCTGATAAAGTCAGACCCCATCTATAAGGAAAAAAAACCCACCAACAAAGGCACTTAAATGTTGAGTATAAAATAGTAAAATTATGAGAAATCATATTAAGAGTGAATGCACATAGCCTTTATGAAAATAAGGCTAATATGGACTACTTGGCGAACATGAAAGCATTCTTCTCAGTAGGTTTATTGTGACATGGTCACGCTGTCGTTCACTTCACCTACTCACCACCGTAATATAGAAATGAGTGATCAGCAAATATGTTTTTCTATTGATTTTTTAAAATAAAAGCTGTCAAATACAGAAGAGACAAAAAAGCCAGGAAGTCTTATAAACATATTGCTTTAGTACAGTAGGTCATTTCTCTTCTTGTTTACTTCATGAAGTATTTCATTTACCCACCTCAAAAAATTAATCTTCTTGCTGGGCGTGGTGGTGCACACCCGTAATTCCAGCACTTTGGGAAGGCGAGGCCAGTGGATCACCTGAGGCCAGGAGTTTGAGACCAGCCTGGGCAACTTGGTGAAACCCTATCTCTACTAAAAATACAAAAATTAGCCAGGTGTTGGGGTGCACACCTGTAATCCCAGCTAATCAGGATACTGAGGCATGAGAGTCACTTGAACCTGGGAGGCAGAGACTGCAGTGAGCTGAGATTGTGTCCTGCACTCCAGCTGGGTGACAGAGTGAAACTCTATCTAAAAAAAAAAAAATTATCTTGATATATCATGTTTTCTGAATGTTCCAGTTTTGAATTTTCTAAGCTGTCTAATACATTTTCTTAATAAAATTCTTAGAGCTGATTTTTTCTTTTTGGATTTCTTGCCTTGTTGACTTTTCCTCTTTATCCATAAGCTAATAACCAAATACATTGTTGCCATTATTTTGAACAAACTGTTATCTGTTAAATCATTTAGAATGGGTAAATACTCCTATATCAGAATAGGAAAATATTTTACCTCCACTTATTCCTTTTCCAATTATTTTCTATTCTTTATCTAGATCCAAATTTCGGACCTAAAACATTTTATTTCACTCTAAAGAACTATTATTTCCTGCAAGGCAGGTCTACTGGTGACAAATTCTCTTAATTTCTGTTTGTCTGAGAAAGACTTTATTTCTCCTTCACACTTGAAGAATAATTTCACTGGATATAGAAAACTAGGTTGGTACTTTTTCTCTGAACATTATTTCTCATTCCACTCTCTTCTTGCATGGTTTCTGATAAGATTTCTTATCTTTATTCCTCTAGTATTTTCCTTCCTTGGAGCTTCTTTCAGTATTTTCTATTTGTCTTTCTTTTCCTGTAATTTGAATATGATGTGCATAGGTGTATATATTTTGGTGTTTATTCTTCTTGGTGTCCTCTGAGCTTCCTGTCTCTGTAGTTTTGTGTCTGTCATTAATTTTGGAAAATTCTTGTCTATTACTACTTCAACAATCTCTCCTGCTGTTTTCTAATTCTTGTGGTATTCAAATAATGTGTTACACCCTTTTAAATTGTCCCACAATTCTTATATATTCTGTTTTTGGTTTTTTTTTTTTTAATTTTTATTTCTCCTTGCATTTCTGTTTGGGAAAGTTCTATTTATCTATGTTCAGGATCACTGATTCTTTCCTTAGCTGTGTCTAATACACTGATGGGCCCCATCAAGTGCATTCTTCATTTCTATTACAATGTTTTTTATTTCTAGCATTTTCTTTTGATTCATTTTCAGTGTTCCCATCTCTCTACCTACATTATGTATCTGTTCTTGCATGTTGTCTATTTGTTCCATTAGAGCTTTTAATATATTAATCAGTTAAATTCCTTATCTGATAATTCCTAAATTTGTATCATATCAGTCTAGTACTGCTTACTTTGTTTTAGTCTGTGCTTTTTTTTTCTTGCCTTTTAGCATGCTTTTTAATTGTTTTGTTAAAAGTAGAACATGATGCATTAGGTAATAGGATCTAAGGTAAACTGTCTTTTAAGGTGAAGCCTCAGGTTAATCTGGCTAGCAAGCAGGCTGTGTTTAATGTCTGCAGTAGCTGTGGGTGCCAGAAGTTTCTGTATCCTCTAGTGTCCTTGTTGTGTTTTGTTTTTAATATCAGTGTCTCTGGTTTCCCTAAGAATTCCTTCTTACATAGTTAGAGCTTCTCCGTTTGTAATCCATTGTTATTATACTGGAGTCTTGAAGACATGTGTCTTAGTCTTTTTGTACTGCTATAGCAAAATACCTTAAATTGTGTAACTTATAAACAACAGAAAATTATTTCTTATAGTTTTCAAGCTGAGAAATGCAAGATCAAGCTACTGGCAGATTCAGTGTCTAGTGAGAGCCTGTTCCTCACAGATAACACCACGTTGCTGTGTCCTCACATGAAGGAAGAGGGAAGGGGCAAATAGGTTCCTCAAACTCTTTTGTTGTGGTAACTAATTCCATTCATCAAGGCAGAGCACTCATGATCTAATCACCTGCCAAAGGCCTACCTTTTAATACCTTGGGGATGGGGGGTTAGGCTTCAACATGTAAATTTTGGAGGGACACAAACATAGCAACATGGTAGTACGGTGTGGGGAGGGAAAGCATTCTACAAACTTATGATTAAATCTCAGTCTTTCAGTGGTCTTGTGTTTGTGCCGAGAAGCGTTTCTTAGTTGTTTTTCTTTTCTCCCTTAGGTGATATTGGAAGACTATAAAGGAGGTTGTGGTTGGCTAACTACCTTTTCCCTAGAACAAAAAAGGCTCTGGAGACATTTCCCTTGGAGTTAGAATTTCCTTTGTTAGGGAGAATAGAATGCTACCGATCTCTTTCAAAATGGTTACTTTTCCCCTCCCCGTGCTGTAAAACATAAGGGATTTTTTTTTTTCCCCTGGATTTTTACTGTGAGAACCTGGTGAGGTTCTTGGAGGCAAAACCCATGAAAGTGGGAGGTCCCTCTAAGACTGGGCCCCAAGGAGTTTCTCACTTTCACACTGGCCCACACTTAGCCTCAGCCATTTTTCAAAACTCCAATGTAAGTGTTAGAGATCCAGCAGCTTCTGCTCCAGGTAAACTCATCTGGCTTTGACTCACTGTACTTGCATGCTTGTCCAGATTTGAGAGTGAAGGCTTGTCCCGTGGCCTCAATTCTCTGATGGTTCTTCTAAAGTCACTTACTTATTTTGTTCAGCTGTTTTCTTGGTTTTTGGATGTGAGTGATGACTTTCAAGCTCTTTACATGTTGGAGCTGAAGTGCTTGTTTTTCAAATTCCAATTGTAAAATTCTACCATGATATGGCTTGGCTGTGTCCCCACGCAAATCTCATCTTGAATTGTAGCTCCCATAATCCTCATGTATGGTGGGAGGGACCCGCTGGGAGGTAACTGAATCATGGGGGTGGGTGTTCCTGTGCTGTTCTCGTGATGATAAGTCTCACAAGATATGATGGTTTTATAAAGTGCAGTTCTCCTGCAAATGCTTTCTTGCCTGCAGTCATATAGGACATGGCTGTACTCCTCCTTCACCTCCTGCCATGATTATGAGGCCTCCCCAGCCATGTGGAACTGAGTCCACTAAGCCTCTTTCCTTTATAAATTACCCAGTCTTGGGTATGTCTTTATTAGCAGCGTGAGAATGGACTAACACATATCACTTCTATTGACTCTCCCTCATCTTTTAGCTGCTCCAGGTAAGGAAACACTATAGCAGGCACTCCAGGTTATGAAGGGAATACGTAGGAGGCTGCATCAAGAGCACAGAGCAGTTCTTGTCTGAGGTCTTAGAGGCTGGAAATACTTTTCCTTTGGCTGCTTATAAGGGAAGTTCAATGAAGATCTGTGTTATGATTTCTGCAGTCACTAAATCAGTTTTACCTTTTTCTGATTAACCCTTTTCTGTGTAGCTTTAACT